ATTTAAAAAAAGAAAAAAAAAATTATTTGATTTTATAATTACATAAATTTTATGTCATTAATTTGTTAAATATCATTTAATTATTTGCTATATGTAATTATATATAGATATTATTTTTTACTATAATTTTTGATATAAGATTATGTATATAAAAAATTGCAATTAATTGACTAATTGCAACCACACCATCAGTCAATTAATTAGGTTTAAAAAATTACAATTAATTGTCTCATAATTATTTATTTAGTAGATTTGGTTTCTCTTTCACATGTATAAAAAAATTAGACATAAAATAGATTATGTAATTTTTGCTATCAATTAAACTATAAGAACTGATATAACATAAAAATGGATCTGTATTATTTCACTGACAATTACTTCATAGACATCACATTTTACTGACAAGATTTTTTTTATAAATTGCACTAACTTTAACTCTAATTCTAACCTGACTCCAACAACAACAACTAAACTACTTTGTTTGTGAAATGAGCTTCAGTGAAATAAACTGTTGGTGAAATGAACTTGTCAGTGAATGATTGATGGTGAAATGTAGTGTCTTGAAGTGATTGCCTGTGAGTTGATTGGAATCACATGAAACAAAGAAAAAAAATCAAATTTGCAATTTACTTACAAATCACCTTTCAAGTCTTAATAAAAATAAATTCTTTGCAAAATTTTAGTAGTTTCTATATTGGATATTGCTTAATACTACAACATGTTTTATAACTTTAATATATATATATATATATATTTGTTGTATTTTTTTGTTTTTTCTTTTTCACAATGTCAGCTCAGAATTTGCAATCAATTTCGTTTAATCAAAAATGTTGAATGGTGATTTAAAGACGAAGACCCACATATTAATATGCCTAGATAATTTGCATCAGTGCATGCTTTGTTGGTTTAAGGAGAAGCAGCCCTAGAGTCGCTATAAAAAAGTAGTATTTTATATGTATTATGTGATTCTTAATTTATAAAACGGTTAGTAATCAATTTAAAAGCTTGACAATCTCTCTATTATTTATTATATCTACAAGCGACGTTGGTTTTTTTTGGGGGAACGATGCTAGTTTGCTTTTATTAAAGGTCAGTAATTACATAAGTATTCTGATATTTTATATAAAATGCGCATATGAAAGTATATTTCCCACACTTTTTATTAACTACAACGTAGTTTGTACATCAAATTTACGGTATTAAATTCCAGTATCCATCACTATAGACCACTATAGACGCTCATTTAAAATTTAGATAATGACGCCAAATACATCATTGACACTTGTTGCAGATATTAATGACATCTAAAAGCTATGAATAATAAACAAAGGTTAGTGTTATATTAATTACCATTTAATTTACGAAATTTGGTTTAGGCCATAAATTTTTGATTACAACGTATGCATGTATAACAATTTTTGTCAATTTAAGATTACAAAATATATTCAATATAACCTAATAAACTGCTTTCATATAACCTAATAAACAAAGGTTAGTGTTATATTAATTACCATTTAATTTACGAAATTTGGTTTAGGCCATAAATTTTTGATTACAACGTATGCATGTATAACAATTTTTGTCAATTTAAGATTACAAAATATATTCAATATAACCTAATAAACTGCTTTCATATAACCTAATAAACTGCTTTCATTATTATAATAATTTTTCTAGTATGAACTTATCATTTTCTCAAATTTTTTATGCACACCATTCAGAATGTAAAATAAAACGAAGCAAATATGAAATAAATAAAATTCCTAAACAGCTTCTTTATTACTTATTAAACTTATTAAACACTCAACGCTGAATATTATCTTTCAACCCTGGAAAAAAAAATATTATGTTATTTACCATAATTATTTGAAGATTTTTGCATCGATTATCACATCTTTATATACCGTATCATCCCGAAAGAACGCCCCGGGTGTTATTTCGGGATGATAAGTTCATTCACAAGTTTTCAGCATTGTATAAAATATAATTTTATTTTATACTAATACTAAGTAAATAAAATTCTTCTAAACTAAAGTGAAGGCTAATGAATTATCAATCAGCTATTTTCTTTATCAAGAACTAAGGATTTATAGGTACAATGTACTTTAATGATATAATACGTAGACGTAAATCAAGTAACCGTAAATCACATAATATTAAAAATTGTCACAGATGATGCTGAAATTTGAACATACTTTAATATTAAATTTTAAAAAGTTTTTGGGTGTTTTTTATCTCCCTTTTTTTAGGGTTTTAAAAATCGAGACCTCGGATTTCAGCATCATCCGATTTAACTATAATCCGCGACAAAAATTAAACATACATTATTATTGAATGGGTAATAAATGTCTAAGTTGTAAGCTTTTTAAAAAAATAAAAAAACAACCGTAGCATATAAATAACGGGGTTTAATACTAAGTAAATAGATATTTACGTTCTAAATAAAGTTGTTAGCAATGAAACTTTCTATATAACTCTAATATTATGAATTTTAGATAACTTTTTGCTAATTGATATTTGCAAATTTCGTTCACACGGAAAAAAAATTTTTATACTCAAAAACGTATAACAGAAAAGGTAATTAACAAAAAGTTATTAAAACTTTGGTAATATATGGAATTTTTAATCGTGAACACTTTTTGCTTAGAGCATAAATATTTAATTTACTTGGTATTAAATGTAGAAACTTCTTTTAAATTTGTTATTATTAACTTTTAAAAAACAAAGTTTCGATGATTTGTTTACCTTGAGAACCAGTGATCCAAATCGGATGATGTCTGTACCATTCTATTCGTCTCATCGAGACGAATCGAAAGGTACAAAACTTATTCGATTCTGATTGCTAGGTCACGAGATATATCGATTCGCCAATTTACTCATACCCGCCACTTAACCCATATCTACCTTAGATGTTTACATATCGTTTTTTATTTGTATAATGCAAGGCGTGCAATAAAGTTTGCATTTTCTTATCTTTAGGCGTAGGGAATATACAACCATCTTAATATTGTTCGAATAATTTAAGCTCCATTTGACGATCGTTTTATAGTAATTTCCAGTTCTAAATGGTATGAGATTTACCTTTTGTTTCTAGGAATTGAGTGGAGAAACAACATTCCTATAAATATTAACCAGAAAGTGGTTACATATTTAGTCAGTTACAAAAAAAAACCAACACAATTTCCTTTTGGATTTTTGTGGATTATTTATACTAATACAATGACCTCATTATTATCGTTATGTGGAATAAATTATTAAGTCTATGAACACATGCTCATTAATATCATTCGATCTAATGACTAATAATCATATGATCAGGTGATCATTGCTATAATATCCTTTCTGTACCTGCGTTACAGTTAAGGGTGCATGCATACCCAAGAGAGTAGTTAATATTAGCCAATTATAAAGCACATTCATTTACATACGTTTTTTTTATATTAAATATTAAATGTCGCGGCTAATGCAGAAATCATCTGATGCTGATAGTTGGACCTATTTTGATATGAATGTTAAAATAATTTTCACGCTTTTTTTTTACGGTTAAGTTAGTGTTTAGGGTTAGAATTGATATTAAAGAATATATGTAGATTTTAGCAGTGCTTATATTTTCAGATCACGACCCCAAATTTTTGCAGCCCCATCTTAGTCACGGTCAGTCTTATCCTGAAGCGAACCATTTCTTTATTCTGGAAAAATTAATTAATATAGTTAAACTTGCATATTTAAAATCCAATCTGAATTTTTTATTATAAAGTTCATGTTAAACCTTCCATAAGCATTGTTGTACCTTAAAGCTAAATAGTATGCAACAAACAAATATGTCGCAGATTCTGAAATCGGGTGATGCTGAAATTTGGATCTATTTCATGTGCAATTTTTAAATTTTTGGGGTCTTTTTATTGTCTTGCTTTTTTCAAGATTTAGGATTAGAGTTGTAAACAAAAGAGCATAGATGGATTTTGTAGAACCTATATATCGAGATTTCATAATTTTAGTATCATCCGATTTCAACATCATTCGCAACATTTATTATATAATATTCTACACTGAAAAATTTCAGTATTTTGAAAAATGATATTATATATAAACTATCAATTCCTCCAAGACTACACATAAATATTTTGTTCATTATAAATCCATTATAACTTTGTTATTTGGTGAATAAGTGTAAAAATGAAATTTGATTCATATGATTATCTAGGGTAAGAATTTTTTAGCATAGATAATCTTCAATTACTCATGCAATGATAATCTTCAATTACTCATGTTTTAAAATAGCTACCGAACTTATAAAGTGGTCAAAATTAAAGAGTAAGCCTTTATTTTACATTTTTGGTTTTACAATTTATTAGATAAAACTATTAATACAGTGAATATTAGTCGTCGGTTAGGGAGTATATATCGGTTCTTTCAATCGATAATTGTTGTATATTTCATATACTCAATTATATCGAATGAACTTTATCTTAAGACGGTATTCTGTCTTTTAGTGCATATATAATGATGGGAACCACTTTAATCATTCGGAGTGAGTCAATAGAAACGCACCAAATTTTCTTTTTACTTTATTCTTTTTTTTCTTCGAAACAATAATAACTGTTTAATGCATGAAAATTGTTCCATAATTCCGGGCGAGCTATGTTTGTCATTAGTTAGATTAAGCAGTTAAGATGGTTATTAACTAAAAAATTTCATGAGATTCCAATCCCTAAATTCTTGATATTAACTGTTCAAAGTTTAAAAAATTTCATCGTCAAAAAAGAAAAAAAATAAAACAATATAAAAAATTGCTGCATTTCTATTGACTTTGATCAAATTCTTAAAATACCGATTTTTAAATTATCAAAAGATTTCATTCACCTCAATTAGCGAGTTTGTATGAAACTTCATTTTGGACAGTTTTAGAGTGTTTACTCAAATAATAAAATAACAATATTATTATTATTATTATTATCAAAGCTGGAAACATTTGAATATAAAAAAAACACCATTTATTAATGATCAACGTGGTTTTATGTTTTTTTTACAACATTTACTCGATTCTTACCATTTTACCGTTTTGCCACTTTAATTGTTATTTTACGCAGGAACCTCCTGTACCTGGTGCTGTACGAATAACATTACAAGCACCACCTAACTTTACCATCCCTTCTTATTGTATTGGAGGAAGATATCCTTGCGTTTTTTGGAACGCAGATGCAAGTACGTAAAATGTTAATAACGTTAATTTGATATATATCTTTAATATTGACAATATTTATTAATGTTATTTTAAATTTAAATTTATGTAGTTCGGTTCCCTGATGACGGAGCCGGTGTTGCTTTTTTTACCACAAGAGTAAGCTCGACAAATTTTGCTCCGCCACTAGGTTGTGACTTCTCAAAAGCTCAATCACCGTCAGATCGATGCTTTTTTGATCCAAATTCTCCAAATGTTCGTAGTACTACATTTTTACCAATGTCTTTTATCGGTGATATTGAAGATTATACAGTAAGTGCTAGATTGAAATAATGTAATACTAAAAATCAATAAAATATGATCTTAGTAATCGATTACATCATTACTTTATTTTTAACAATAGGTGATGATAGAGCATTCAATAAGAGGAAAGATTACATCCATTGCAATTCGTAATGGTTTATTAGAAGGTCAACTTTTGTCTCATAATGGTTCAGTAATTAGAACCATAACTAATGCTACAAGAGTAAGTAATTAATTAATTTATAGTTCTTTCTTTTTATGAACATGAACTTTGACTAAAAGCCATTTTGCTTTGATTAATAAATAGATGGCTCTTAATCCTCGTGCTGATGGTGATATTTTCACTATTAAAGAACTTCTTTCAGCTGCTGGTGCAAATTTAGATTGTATAATATCATTTTTCTTAACATTGTTATTTAGTTTAAATTAGAATAAATGTTCCAATAAGAATAGTGTTAATAATAAATTATTCTTTTTTATGTAAAAGCTCCTTCATCGGCTCCTGGAGCTAATAAAACTGCGCATGAAAGTTACAGGAATTCTGGAATAGTTATTGTTATTGTGATCGAATACAAAAATGATGTATTTTTAATTTTATTGAAATGATTTAATTTTTTCCATCCTTTTGTTTTATAACTGATATATTATTATCAATTTTATTATTAGGGTAAAGACATAGATTATAAATATATACCTCAAGTCATTGACGGAAATGAGTATAAAGCAATTGAACGAATTTATAATAGTACTGATGGCTCGATTACATTGGTTAACAGGCATGGGTAAGCATTACTATTAATCGTTTTTGATTACTTACTTATCGTTATTCTTATATTTATTATACCTGTTATTATTGTTATTAAATATTATTTATTTATTAATAGTATTCGCTTTGTGTTCCAACAACATGGATCTATTGGTCAATTCAACTTTATCGCTCTTCTTACAAATATTGTTGCAGGTTTTGCATTATTTGTAAGTATTAACATTCGTAATATTGCATGATTTTTTATATATATTTTTTTTTCATTATTTTTTTTATCATTCTTAACATCTATTTGATTTTCTTTGAAACTAGAAAACCGCTGAATTTCTAGTAGAATTTCTTATGTTATGGGTCCTTCCTGAAAAAGAATTTTACGGTATTGCAAAATTTCAGGAAACTGATAGCTTTGATGAATGGCGTAAAAATAAAAAACAATTAGAAAAACAACGTTCTACCGATCCTAATGTCACTAATGTTAATAGAATTGATTTTTATGACAATGTTAATACTGCTGGTACTTCTAATACAAATAATCGTGGTGTAAATATTGGTGGTTATTACGGCATTAATAGTGCAAATTACAATGACAATAGTGGAAATAATGGTTGCTATTATAGCAACTATGCCAATATTGGTGGTTATTACAATCCTCGTTCGGAAATTATATAGTACTAAATATTATTAAATAATTTATTTCTCGTAATTTATTCATCATTCAACCATAGAACAAATACATTTACAAATAAATCCATACATTAGCATGTAAATATTTAATTATTTTGTTGGGTTTAAATCTTCATTTCGGTGTTATCAAGTACCGTTTCTGGTTACACCCAATACTAAAGAGAAAAATCAATTAAAAAAAGTTTTTTTTTAATATATTTTTTTTTGTATATTGCAATGATGTGCTGTAAAAAAAAGCAAAAATAATACAAAATCTCAATTTATATAAACTAATATCTATAAAAAATTCAATTTTTTTTTAATTTTATTGATGAAAAATGATTCTATTATGAATTTAATAAAAAAAAATCAAGAATTCATTTTGAATTGCAAAAAATAACACAATCTATTCATTTTTTTTTGCTTTATTATTTATTATTGTCACTGTATATTATATTTTGCTAATTTTTCTTATTACACTGATATTCATAATAAACCTAATACAGAGTATACAGTGAATACAACATATACTGTTGGTAAAGCGAAGCAAGTTTTAGAGTTACCTTTTGATGAAGTTAGAGTTTGTGGATTATATAAATATCAATAATACAATTTATGCAGTATATCTGCTTTAACCGACCCCCATTTTAGGTAGTGATCGATATAGCCGTTAATTTGTTACTGCGCCACATTACTCACCAGCTTCAACGAGCTTCCGGCGTTACCATCCTACTGCTTACATTAGTTACTGCGCAACATCGACACTAGGGATGGGTTCGGTCGGTTACAGTCAGTTATTGGTCAGCTATTATTAACTATCGACTAAGAGTCGACTATAGCCAGTGTCACAGGAAATTTTTAACTTTGATGTTACCCAGGTTCCGAATTACTGTATCATACAGATACCCGGTTCTGATGACTACATTTTGGTGATCGTATGGTTACCCAGTCCGATTACTTTACTATTTTTTTTTTATTTATTTTAAAGCGGCAATCTTGCCTGTCTGTCTTTATTGGGTAATATATCATTATTCAAGTATATACAAAGTCTATCAACGAAAGTACAACTAGTCACACATATAACTTTAGTCATTATCTAATTAAGGGTTCCGCCCAAGGGTTACCCACTAGCTGTCATACCTGAGATCTGCCTGTGAATCCCCTATTTAAACTTTCTGATTTCAATCCTATTACATATATGCAATGCTTCTATTACCACATGGACATGCCAGGTTAGGGTTATCTAATTACTATTTATATCAAGGTATCACCTCATTGGATGTTACCAGGTATTCATAGTTCTTCGAATTTACTCTCGATGCAGACTTACTAAGTATGGTATCAAGATTACCCCTTAGATTTATCCAATTTTTAGTAGATCCTGTATCTACTAGAACCAATTTGGTGCCAGAAGTGTTCGAATTTCGGTAAGTCTATTCCTTTTTCATAGTTTTCTTTTATGTTCACTGTATCACCTGCTAGTGCACCTTCTCTCCATTTCTGGTATGTTCACTGCTTCTCTCACATTGAGCATCAACTCTCCATATCGGGAATCTTTTTTCCAGAAACTTTCTTATATACTGATCTTTTAATCACATGGACTTAGCCACAGAGCTTCATGTACATTCATATGTTTCCATAGATTACAGAGTTTCCTCCAGCTGAGATTGAACCATCAACCTTGTCTGTAGAGGGAGGGGTGCCTAGACCACTAGCCTATGGGTCCCATCCCTGATTACTTTACTATTACTACATTTTCCTTCACTTTTACTTCATTTTTCCTCATTATTGATTTCTAAACTATATTTTTAGATTTCTTTTTATTACCACATTTTAGCAACATTACGGCAACATTACAATTATTTTCATAATAATGATCATAAAATAACTTCATTTTTCTTATATATGTATGAAAAGTATATTTAAAGGACCCTGCGAGAGGAAAGGAAAATATTGATTCTTCCTTATTCAATATATAAGCTTAAAAGACAATAATAAAATAACAATTGCTAACAATGATAATAATAAATACATTCATTACAATAATAATTGGCAAATTCTTAATAATTAATCTACTAACATAAACCTTATGCATTTAATAAATAAAGTGTTATTGTAATAATTAGAATCTCTGTGCTATTCGATAAACTCTAGTTCTTCCAAGAATAGCTTCATGTTAAGTAATAGAACTAAACTTCTTATGCTCACAGTCTAAAATTACAATTCAGTAACAGGAATAGGAAAGTCTTTTCTCAGATCATGACACCAGCTATAACTGATTAATTGAAGATCTTTTAAATTTGATAGATGTTCAAAAACTTCAATTGAAGGTATTTTAACATCTATCTAATTAAATTCAATAACAATTCTTTTATTTGTATTCTACTGCTTTTTATAATCAAAACAAAAAAAACTTTATCAAATTGACTTAGTAGGTGCTAAGATATCTTCAATCAAAGTTTCAAAACAACTTTGTTATAATTATATTTAGTATTTTACAAATCTTTGATCAGATATATCTTGGTATCTACCTGATCAAATTCAATGCATTTTTTTTTGCATTCTGTTATTTTTTATGATTAAAACAAAAAAAGATTATTGAATTTAATTTAATAGGTATTAAGATATTTTTGATTAATATTTCAAACTAAATTTGTTGCAGTTTATATTTGATAGATGTTTAGAATTTTATAAAACTTTATTTGAAAATATTTCAGCATCTATCTGATCAAATTCACTGAATTTTTTTATTTGAATTCTGCTGTTTTCTATAATTAAAACATAAAAAAATTTATTGAATTTAATCTAATGAATGTTAAGATATCTTCAATCAAAATTTCAAACTAAATTTGTTATAATTTATATTTGGTAGATATTTAGAATTTTATAAAAACTTTGTTTGAAGATATTTCAGAATCTAACTGATCAAATTTACTAAATTTTTTTTATTTGAATTCTGCTGCTTTATATAATTAAAAAAAAAAATTCATTAAATTTGACTTAATAAGTGTTGAAATATCTTTGATCAAAATTTCAAAACAATTTACAATAATTTATATTTGATAAATATTTAGAATTTTACAAAAACTTTAATCAAAAATATCTCAACATTTACCTGATCAAATTCAATATATATCTTTTTTAAATTTAATTATTTTTTATAATTAAAAGAAAAAAAAGTTCATCAGATTTAATTTAGTAAATACTGAATTATTTTTAATCTAAATTTTATAATAAAATTATTATAGTTTGTATTTGATATATTAGTAGATATTAAAATAACTTCAATTATAATTTAAAAAAATTCAAAATAATTTATATAAAAATATTAATTTTTTTTAAATATTAATGATGAGATCATGTTTTTAACTTTAGTAAAATTCAATTAAAGTTTTTATAAAAAAAAGTTTGCTTTTAAATTACATATGAAGAATAAAGACTCAGATATATAATCTGTGATCTAAATTTACAAGAGTGGCTAAGACTTATCTAGATTTGAATATTAGTAATAATATAAAAGAGAAGGGTATGATATTTAATCTATTGTAAAGTTTAAAGGTCAATTTTGGTAATAATTTGTAGTACTAAAATAGGGAGTAAATTAGAAGAAGAACTATAAGTTAAATTTGTAATAAGTGTGTTTTGTGACTGTATAGAATATAAAATACAATATGGAATCAATATTAGTTTGTATATTTGTTGGTTTAAATGAAGAAAGAATTTGATAGAAAGAGAAGTAACTGTATGATAAGAAATAAAAGTATTATAAATAATAGAAACAAGGTCAATAGGAACTAAACCAGATAGTATAGAAATAAGAAATGACATATATGAAGAGTTGTGTAATTTAAAGCTATTAAGTATAAGAATTTCTTGATATAAATTAAAAACAAGATTGGAGAACATATCAAGAGCAATAACATTTAAGATGTAATTAAGAGAATTAGAAATTAAGTAATAAATTATTTGGGTAAAAGAACAAAGAGTTCAGTGTAATGAAAAGCTAGTTTGATTGTATTGGTAACAGAGAGAAGAATAAGAAGAGTTACATTTGTAAAGAATGTAAGAAACAGGTAGTTCATCCAAAAGAATTTTAACATGAAAGGTTTTTAGAATAGAGGAGTGAAAACTATAGACAAAATTAGAAACCTTTTGATTATTATTGATATAAAGCCAGATGGCTTCCTAATTGATATTAGAAGCAATAATAGACTATTATTGGAAATGATATTGAGATGTTCAAGTGTTATAATGTGAGTTTGATATATAGTACAAATAGAACATCAAATAGAAATCTCAATAGGAAATTGGACAATAAATAGAGTATAAACATAGTTGTAAGAGTTGTTAGTTAAGAATATGTTAAAAAGTGTAGTATTTAATGACTATAAGCAAGTTGATTAGCAAGATTGTTAAATAGGTCATCTTGGTATACAGTAACTTTGTAAAAAGTAAGCTAAATGTTATATGAATTAATAAAGTTAATAAGAGTTTGCCAAATAGAAAAGTATAGAATATAAATATAAGAGAATTTGGATACTAATGAACAGATACTATAATATTTAAAAATTACAGTTTGTAAGTCTAAAAGATATGAACAGAATAGTTTTTAGGAGCAATTATGATTGTTAAGAGAATAGCAAGAATTTTAGCTTTAAAAAAGCATGACCAGAGTTTAATTTGTATTTAAAATAAGTAAATACTTGCAGAATTATTAACTTGAATCCAATCTATGCCCATAGAATATTGAGAGATACCAAGCTCAATAACAGAACCATTAATATAAAATAAAATAGTAGTTAGATTGTAATTAGAATTAATAATAAACTGTAAGCTATTGGTAAGTTAGTTAGACTGAAAGATGCAAAATAATTATTATAAATTGATTATTAGTAAAGAAGGAGGTAGAATATGCAAAGAATGATAAATAACTACAGAGTATACAATATCAAGAAACTTGGCATATAAGTTAAAGATTTTGTCAATATTAATACAGCAAAGTAGTTTTGAAACCAGATTTGTAAGAATAAAGATAATATATTTTTTGGCAATTGTATTGGAATTAAGTTGATATTTAGAATATAATATAGTAGTAAAGAGAAA